CAACATATAGCAAAAACTTATTCCCACATTTTATTTGGGGGCCAAGAAAGACATAGTGTGGCTTTGCTCCAAACTGCTTGTTGATTAAAGCAATGGGTGTGTGGGCAAATGCCAAGTTTAATCCTAGTTTCCTTCTCACTTCACATCTTACAGCCAGCCTGGACATCTGAGTCTGTGTATTTGGATTTGGTCTGTGGTGTTTCAAGAACCTCTGCAGCTTTTCAAAATATGGCCGTGTTTAATCTCATCATCTACAGAAGCAGAGTCACACACAGATCAGCACAACCAGGGAACACCTTTGAACCACACCAAAACACAGGCAGCTTTGCTGTTGCGTCTCAACCACTTCCTAAGTCACAGCTGAATATTTGGTCTTAACTTTTTAAGTTGCCTGAGTTTAGCTTAGGAAGCACACTGGAGTCTTTCACAGTGGAGAGATTCACTCAGTGCATTTTATAATTAACTACTATAAAGCAAAGCTTCGGCATGTTTGCAAATTATGGATTTCATTAGTCTAAATAAAATCAGATTATTCCTCCTAGCATATTAGAAGTTGGCCCAACATCAATAAAATTATTGTTTTTAAGAACCATGTGTGCAGCAGGTGAAATCTTTATTATTACAAGTCAATAATAAAAGTTTGACAAGTTAAAATATAAACTCCAAATGTAAACTTACATTAACTTGAAAACTTTCTGCAGTTCACATTTGGACTGTAAAGTGGCTGCAAACACATTCCTGCCTCCACTCAAGGAACATGGATGGAGACTGTGTTTTTGATAGTTTGCAATTTAGCCAACATTTACATGCATATAACACAAGAAGGAAAGCACTTTATGACTGCCTATCCAGAGTCAATGTCAATCAATATCCATGTTCCAGAAGTCTGTATTGGCATCAGTTGATTAGTTACCTTCAAAATCTAGCAGCTTTTCTGAAAGAATTAGCAGAAAAAAAGAAGTGTTCTAGTTATCAAATGGTATATGAAAAGAGTAACTTTTCATAATTGTTCGTTTTTAAGCTGTGTCATTTTGACTTCAAGTAATCTAATGCCTTGGATAGAAATGGCGTCAGATAGAAACTTCAGCTCCACCTCTACTTACCTTATGTGTTAATTATCAAGATAAGTTTTTTTTTTAGGTGGGGGGCTCACTCTGTCACCCAGGCTGGAGTGCAGTGGTGTAATCATAGCTCATTTTATCCTCTATCTCCTGGGCTCAAGCAATCCTCCCACCTCAGCCTTCTGAGTAGCTGGGACTGCAGGCATGCACCACCATGCCTAGTTTTTTTTTTTTTTTTTTTTTTTTTTTTTTTTTTTTTAAATAGAGACAGGGTCTCCCTATGTTGCCCAGGCTGTTCATGAACTAAAAAGAAAATTTTGATTCAGTTTATTCATGCACAAAATAGATATGACTTTCTATTTTAAACCACTATGAAGAGAAAGAGGAAACAGTTGTGCACTTCCATGAAAACCTGTATATAGATTAATGAAAGTGTAATTCTTGCTCAAATATATCCTTTTACTGCTTATAGAAGAAATGAAGTAGAAAAATTATGGGAACTGCCTGGGAATCTTCTCCTTGCTTGTGTTTTGAGCACAGTAACACATTCACACTGTTTGCATAAAGGAAATTACACATTTTGGAATGAGGCTAGAGCAAATTTAAAACGCTGGAAAACTGAGCATTCAAAATTTCATTTTCATCACCATACTTTAACCATATACACAACTTCCGAATCTAGAAAGGCACAAATGTCTAGTAAAAAGGAAGGGGGATGGTGAAACCACATCTCTACTAAAAATACAAAAATTAGCCAGGTGCGGTGGCAGGTGCCTGTAATCCCAGCTGCTTGGGAGGCTGATGCAGGAGAATCTCTTGAACCTGGAAGGTGGAGATTGCAGTGAGCTGAGACTGTGCTGTTGCACTCCAGCCCGGGCAACAAGAGTGACACTCCATCTCATAAACAAAAACAAACAAATAGGAAGAGGGAAGACTGCAGGAATTGAGGAGAATTAAAATTGAGAGCATGGTTAGCTCAGACTGAGAACTTCACACAGCAATCCAAAAAATACAGCAATGGGAAACAAAGCAGCAAGCTGCATTATCCAAGATCACACTGGCTGGAGGGGCAAGACTCTGTAATAATACACAGATGATCAGGAAATCTTTTGTCAGGCTATGTTTCCTAAATGTTGAAGGCTTATTTTTTATAACACATGTTCATAATATTTAGGCAAAAAGTGAAATTAAAGAATAATAAGGAGATTAGAAAATAAACTGAATGAAAGCCAGATTCTTTTATGAAAGCAGAATTGAATCCATATTCCCCCACTTCCAGACCTTAAATAGCTCAGATTAGCCCATATGTAATACAAAAGGAAAGTTAAGTAGAGAGTGTTTGATTGGACAATGAATTACAGGGACTTCCAAAGAAATAAACAAAGATGATCCAACCAAAAATTTTAGTGGACGCAATGGCACAATCATATATCAAAGATTTAAGTTTGAGTTTTCATATAGAAGTCCACCTTTCTTCTACATTGTTTCCTTGTATAACTATGTCTAATATTCTTGTACTATTGAGAAAAATTCTTACTGTGTGTGTACACACACATGTATATATTTAGTTTTAATATAACTTTTGTTCTTATCAGCTTCTGGCTTCCTGCCTCTCAGACTGCTGCATCAGCCCTGTAACCCAAGATTGGCTTAGGAATTCAGGCGAGCTGGGAAAGGTGACCCTGCACGGCTCTTCCTTCCACCCTAGTTAACTTGAGGTCAAAGCAGCTCTGAAGAAGCTGCATTTATTGCCACAGTGTTTGTCTTACAGGGAAATCTCCCAGATGCAGTCAATGTGTGAAAACCAAACACTAGAAAGGAAAGAAACTGCCCTTCCTTTAAAGAATGTGGAATCTTTCCTTTTGAAGATCAGGATTTGGAGCCCATAATCCTGTGGATGGATGATGCCAACATTCAACTCTGCTGCTTATTCCCCATAATTTCGCCACTTGACCTGTGACGAATCAGCTTCTGCCTTTCCAGGGATTTAGAACCTTTCTTATGGGACTCCTCTCACTCTGAATGATGGTGATTAATTACTAGTGTACTTTAAAAGTCTCCTCTATTTAATTACATCCTCCTGAGTATTTGAACTAATTCCTCTTAGTTTCCGCTGCAGATCGGAATGTTGCCTTGAGCAAGTTTCATGTTTCTTTCTCCCGCTTACTCACTCAAGCACATACATAGATATGTAATAAATATTGATTAAGGTTCCGTATTAGGCTCTGTTTTTATCAGTAAGGATTAATAGGCATAAATGAGAGACATAATCTCTGCCCTGGAGCCTAAATGGGATGTGTTATAAGGACGCTTTCAGGCTGACCAGTTCTTCTAGTACAGCTGAGTAGAGAGCCATGCCTCCTCATTAGCCCACCTTATAGGGAAGAAATGGAGACTCAAAGTATCTAAATCACTTGTCTGAGATAAAACAGAGAACCCATAGACAGAGCTGGGACTCCACTCAGATCTTTGACTACTGAAGCCAAAGACACTTAATCAATAAAACACGGAATTATTCTCAGTGATGCTATTGGATAGTTATTTACGTTTAGGTTTTATGTTTGTGTTTTTCTGCTTAGGAGGTAAGAAATGTGTCAGGAACATTAACGCCATACTTAAGAATTGACATTTAACTACTGAATTCTGTTTTACTGGGGCAATATTGTGAATCATGCAATTACAAAGTACCTTGGATTAGACGTTATTTAACTCCCCAAAGAAAACATAGCAGTTAGAAATGGATGCTTTGTGAAAATACTCTCTGCCTATTAGGAATGTAAGAAAGTAGTTTTAATTCCCATTTAAAAGTTATAATTTTAACCTTAAAAATCAAAATCTGTTTAAATCAAAATCTTTTTTGCTATAGATGGCAAAAGGCACAATAATTATCAAACCATGCTTTGCTCCCAAAAAGGTGATGCTGAGTTGATACATACATTTACAAAGCAAATGAACTATTTAGCTAAAAAGCAAAACATAAGTATATGTGAATATAAACAACATTTACTATCTAAACTCTACCCAATTTACTCTCCAAAACAACTCCTTGAAATAGGCACTATCATCCCTATGTTTCAGATATGAAAACTGGAGCTCAGAGAGCTTAAATAATTAGACCAGTGCGACATAGGTAGAAAGTAATTTAGCAAAAATTGAGCTCATTTAGGACTAGATGTTGGAATTAGACAGAAAAAAAAATTAGACACAAAAAATTGTGTCTAATTCCAACATCTAGTCCTAAATGTACTAAGCCAATTTCTCATACACTTAGTAACCTAGGTCAATAATTAGGAAGCACATATTCTTTATTTTGGGAATATTTTTTAGCAATCAACTCAGTCCTGTATTTATAGATGTAGGATTTAGATGTGTTTCTTATAGCAAACAAATTAGGTAAGTGACATTTTAAAGCAAACCCTGTTGAGTGTCATGCTTGGTTTCCTTTCCTTGCTATTAAGAACCAGACAGAAATATTTACCATAAGCCATTGATGAACTTTGACAGGAGCCTGCAATTACCACTGACAATGAAATAAAATACATGAAATTTCTGTGCAAACTGATTAGCCCTGGATGAATCAATACTGTCTCCAGTAACTTCTAAGAAGGACATCTCTGCATACCAAAGTTGCCTGTGACAAATTTCATCCAGGGGTCATTTAGGGATGCTTAAAAAGATAGTAAGAAGGCAGTAGCAGTAGTAAATTTCTCTTGAACTTTTAAATGACACTGTCAGAAGAAAACATCCACTGTGTTGCTGACTTTGCCTTCTCTCTTGCTCATATTAGCTAACCTTAAAAGTGCAAATATAAACAAATTTAATCCCCAATGGTACATCTGAACCAGGAGAAATCTGGAATTAATTGCCAAGTATTTTGGTTCCTGTTGCAGCTGTTACAAGTGTTTGATTTGGTGAGGGAAAAGAAAAGGCGCTGCATACCGATTTCGTGAGCCACAGTGAAAGCTGCGTGGAGGCCATCGTCTTCAATCACAGCACAGCTGCGCTCTGGAGAACATATGGTCCCAACGTCTGCCATTCCCAGGGTGTCACATGAATGATGTCCACATAAATCCTGCCCGGGAGAAAGAAAGAAATCATTAAAATCAATTTACATCCAGAAGGAGCCACCACATAGAGCCACTTGCTTACCCCAAATGGCAACAGGGATATGTTTATGGTATCACCTGTTCCTCTCTGGAAAGGTTCCAAAGGCAAACTCAAGGCAGAGACTCTTCTAAACTGCTCTGGGACCCAGAAACACAGAAGGATAATGGAATTTAATTACATTTAAAAAGATGTCTTAGGATTGTAACTTGTCTGTTACAATAGTGCCCGCAGCCTTAACAAAGCTGTAATGCATATACGTCTCTGATCACTTTCCCATATGGTCATGCTTAGGAAGGTCCTAAAATTCTGATGGAAATTCAGGCTAAATTTATCAAAATCTGGCCTCATAATTTGTTTTCTATTACAGGGGCAAACTGCAGCCAGATGTCTGCAACAGAGTACAAATTTATTAGAAATTTGGATAGAAAACTAAATTTTAATTCATAATTTGATGAAAGGTCATCTTTTACTCCCAAAATGAGCTGTAATTTCATAGGTTGTGTCTTCTGAAATCTGTGCATTCTTACTCATAACATTTAATGTAGTATTTCTCAAGCTGACCAACCTGCAGAAAATATATGTCATATATAAATTTTGTGTACATGAGTATATGCATTTTTCTGGTAAAAAGTCACAGCTTTTCATAGATGTCATATAATCTTTTAAGAGATTCTCAAATAGGAACATGATTCCACCCCACTAATGGTGAAAAATGATCAATTTACATGAAAAGGACATCAACAAGCCTCTTGAGATATGAAACATAAAGAGAAAATATAAACCGCAACTTTTTGACATGACAGATTCATAATGATAAACTTTCCCTTTAAATGCTATTTGAGTATTAATGGACATTAGCATTTCTTGTGCTTGACCACAATTTTCTATGAAAATTTACTAACAATGTGCCCATTTATATTCCCAAAGAGCAAGATCGTCTTTCTAGTAAGCCGTAAGTTAGTAACACCAAAAGGAAAAGGTTTTAAAATATATTAATTATTTTAAAAGGCAACTGTTTATTAGTTAAAATAATAAATGTTTCTATTATACAGCAATCATCTTTGTATGCCCAACTTCCATACTCTCCAGCTTATATAGTAGGAACTCAGCAAACATTTCATCGAGTTGAATTGTCATCTACAGTCAGATACCTTAGAGTGCTCCCACATCTTTAATATGCTGTATGCTAGCAGGACCTCAGCAGGCTCCAGACAGCCAGTACAAGGCAGTGCAACTACATAAGCAATGCTGCATACTCAATGGAAACATATTCTTCTAACCCTTTCCTATCTTGCTGCATAAAAATCCAACCAAGCTGTATTCTCTTCTCTTACTAGGTTCTCAGGTTCTTATTGTGTTCTGTTTAGTATGAGTTCCCAGCTAAGATAAGTTACAGTGTGGCCACCATGTTACTGTAGCTTTAGACAGTGGAAATCTCAGCCAAGTAGCCTTGGTTAATCATGTCACAAAACCAACAGCCTTCCAAAGTTTCCTGTGTATCCCCACATGTCATCCCATGGGATGCCAAATTACAGTGGTTGAGAACAAATTAGTAGTTTTTCAAATTGAAATTGGAACACACTTTTGCATAATAATCAGTCTTTGAGATAATAATATAGCACAATACATTTTTAAGCCCCTCCCCCACAATCATTTCAGTATCTCTAGACCAAAAACCTAGGTCATGCCTTAAGGGAGTTGCTAGACACTGTAGGTTATATCCGCACACATTTTTTTAAAAACAAGATTTATGTTTATATCACAATTTGGGGTCATTATCTTTAAGTAATAAAATCCAAGAATTACATTTTCCCTTCTTACTCTTTATAAATAAGCCAGGATGAAGAGCCACAGCAAAGGGAAATGACCCTCCTGTTCTAGAGAGAGATTAAACTAGATTCTTAGTATCTCTGTGTTTACTGCTAATCAATTGCTCATTAGAGGCCATCAACCCTCCTTGTCATCCTTGAATTGGATTAAATGCATTTGGCCTTTTGCCACGGAAATGTGGCAAAATTATGAACAGAAGCACTTGTTATTTCTTTAACCACACTGATTAAACTCCTTGACTACTCAGCCACACTATATATTTCTGTAGCCATAATTATGTAAACTGGCAACCTTTCCATTTCACTCACACAATTTCAAATCTTGGCAAACAGTTACAGTTTCAGCCTCAAGGCTTATAATGAACATCTGAATTTCTTTGTGAACGATGTTCGTTTCAATGAATTAAAACGAATGTAGATCGAATTGTTAAGAATACAGCATATCACATTCATGTCTACTTTCTGGTGATGATGTAAACCTTATTGAAGTTTATAGAATACTTCCTTAAATTCTTAAATTCTGAGCAGGAGTAAAGATATTATTGGGGCAATAGCATATATATATATATATATATATATATGGCAGAGACTCTTCTAAACTGCTCTGGCACCCAGAAACACAGAAGGATAATGGAATTTAAATACATTTAAAAAAGATGTCTTAGGATTGTAACTTGTCTATTACAATAGCACCCGCAGCCTTAACATACATATGCTATTATATATGTGTATGTATACATATATATGTGTGTGTAGATAGATAGATGATAGATAGATAGATAGATAGATAGATAGATAGATAGATAGATAGATAGATAGAATCTAGACCTGGAAGCAGGAGATACTGGAGAGATGTGAATCACATACATACCATGTAAGAGGTAAATGAATTAAAAGTGCTGACAAAAGCTTATCTGCTTGTTCAGTGTAGATCTGAAGATAAATGATATCTTTGTCATATCAAATAAGGCTTGTTTTATGCAGGGTCAGTATCTTATCACCACTGTGTGGAGAGTAATGCCATGGAAGATTGAGTAAAATATAAAGGTTGCAGAGATTTATCTAGTGGTTTTGTGGTATGGTGTTGGCCAGGATACAAGACTGAGACATGGTATCTAACTCAGAAGTGTATTCAGGGTGGTCTGCGCGACCAGCAGAGATTTGATAGGAAGGTCATTGCCACTGTGACCATTCACCAGGTATGACCTTTTAGAAGACTGTAAATATGGCAAAGCTTGTGATTGATCACAGAATTCTGAAGCCGTAATAATACCCAAGACCTACTGGGCACTTCTTGGGGCTGGGATGGGGGACCGGGAGCGGGTAAAGCATGCTGCCTTGAGAAGCAGATGCTCAGAAGATAGTGTGAACCTTGAAAATCCCAGTGGGCAGTACTGGGTGGTGAAAATGAACCAGTCAGACACGAATGTCCTAAGGTGGACAAATCACAGGAATCAGGATTTCTTGTCTTGACTGAGAAATTGTTTCTTGCATGCAGTGCAAATATGCTGAGGGAGGGAGCCAGAGGCAACACCAATGCTGATACAGGTAGATACCATCACAGCTGCAGCAACAGCAGCTGAAATTAAGGAAGAACACCTTATATAGGAGTTAAATAATAGCAACTTCTCTTTCTATAGATCTTAACCCTTGGTAAGGGCAAGCATGGAGCTCAAGAGAAGAGCATAAAAGAGAGTTTAACTAGGTTTCAGATATCTACCCATCTGTCCACACAATTCTTATTGAAGAGACACTAGTGATAGAAGAATTAATCTGGTGTGGTACATGTTTTAGTCATAAGTATTACCTACATACACACACACACATGCACACCCACACACACACATACACACACACACACACACACACACCCCTACATACACACACACACATGCACACCCACACACACACATACACACACACACATACACACATGCATATTTGTTCTGTGGGTCTGATTCTTGAGGAGTCCTTTGCCTTTCTGGCAACCTATCCAGTAATCCCCAATAATAGGGGTTTTAATTTTAGACTTCAGCAGAGCCTACATTAATTGGAACTGTTAGGCCAACCATTACAATGACCCATTTTATACAATCTCTATCCTTGTCTCTTGATATACTAAGGGATACCAAACACACAGAGCCCAGATGGGTTAGGGGCCCAGAGACCCAGATGTGTTTATTCCTAAAACAATTATTGTGTGCCTCCAATCTGCCAGACACTGTGGAAGTGCTGACACTGTGGTAAACAGACGAAATAAGATTTGATCCTGAGCTTTAAGGAACATCACGCTCTAAGGAGCAAAACAGATATGTCAAGAGCAAAGCAAACTGTGACTTCCATTACGAACAGATTGTTGAGGGAGAACAGAAGAGGTATTGATGAACTCTCCTTGAGGGAATCAATGAAGGTGTCTCCACGGAAGTGAGTGGATCTGATAGCCTGGGAGGAAGGATACTCTGGCAAGGAAAGACTAGTGGAAACATAATGGAATGGGAAAAGGCAGAGTCTTTTTGGGAATGACAAGAAGTTTGTTTTGGCTGGAACACAGGATCTGTTGAGCAGAGGGCTAGCAAGGAAGTTGGAAAGAGAATCTGGGCCCAGAGTTCCAAGTCAGGAAGCTTTCTCTGACAACTGTGAGGTCAGAAGGGGAAGAGATGGAACAAGTTGGAGACTGGGGGCGGGGGAGTAGATGCTTGACAGTCATTTTGGTAAACAGAAATGGAAGCCGGTTAGAGATAGTGAATGGAAGGTAGATTGCTTTTTAATTTAACGCTGTTAGTAAGAAGCACTGTGTAAATCATTTACATGCTTTGAGACAAAGTTCCTTCATCATTAACATCAGGAGTTTGGTCCAGGTGATCTCTAGGATTTGTTCCAGCTACACATGTCTTGATATTAACTAAAAGCATTTCAATTTATAAAGAAATTAAAGCTCAGGGGCATTAAATGCCTGAAATCTTAATCTTGTCCATACTGAAGCTGAAATTCAAACCTATGTCTAAACACTTAGAATCCTGAACTTACTTCACCATGGTTTTGTTAAATCATCACATGTTATTCTTGACATAATCTTATCTTTTGTATTCACAATCTGCACTTGGTTAAGCGAATTTCTTTTTTTTCATATCCTGGT